GCCGGAAGAAGAAAGGAGTATCTGTTGGTCTAACTAATGAAGTGGTTGTAAAGCTGGATATCTACATGAAGCTTGTTGTCCATGCGTTGCAAGAAGACACGCCACGTACGATAATTTATCTGGACGAGTCGTTTATCCATCACAAGTACAAGCTACAACACTGTTTTCGCTCCCGTCGTTATCCGGACGGGAACCTCTTGCGGAGGCCGAATTAACAGTAAATTGAAAACTGAGGTCTCTTACTACGAATTGATTTTTCTGGTCTATTTTAAGTCTAATCATTTCGTCCAATGAAAATGCGCCAACAATGCACATCTTTCAACCGCACGACAATGGCTACAACCGCACGACGAATGGCGGCCTGCTGCACATAATGGAGACTAATGGCCTTACCGATCATGAGACCATGAGCCGACCTCTAAAAAGGCTCATAGATCTTTCTTCAGCGCCATGCAGAACACTTCCCCCTAAAGGGAGTGTCCGAGGGTTTTCTCGAGGTCCGCGGCCATTTTCTTCACTTCTTCTTGGTCTTCATGTTGGTGAACCCAGCGGCGGAAAACGATGGGGATGTCTTCATTGAGGGAGCGAACGGGCTCCCATGAGGCTTCGTCTTCATCGAGGCCAAGCCAGTAGACGAGGGCTTGGTATTCGCCGTTGTCTTCGCGGACGTTGCCGAGCTTGGCCACATGGAACCCTTCATTGCCAAAGGCAATATGGTCGGCTAGGTCTTCGGTCACATCGCGGCCGCCTTCGCAATACATCTTGAGTCGGCAGGCATGGTGGAGGGACAAGTCGTAAGGCTGTACCGTCTGCTGGGTTTCCATGACATAGTCAGTCACGACCCGGACGATCTTGCTTGGGCCGCGTCAGTGCAGGGACAATTTGTTGCCTTGGCGGGACACTTGACCAACGAGGACAAAGTCGCCGATCGTAAACTTCTGCAACTGGACGGCCTTGGCCTTGGCTTGGCGGTCGCGTGCTTGGCGTCGCTTCTTGGCGCTTGTCGAAGCCACTTCGCGATGCAGCTGTTCCATCGCTTTATGCAGCTCGTCCATGTGCTTCTTGCGTGTGGAGTCGAGCCAGTCAATGTTGGCAACTTCCTTGGTCATGGTGTTGACAAACGCTGACAGCGGCGTCGTCGCAGGCAGGCCAGTAAAGGCGGTCACCGGGGCCAAGCCGCTAAGTCGGTCGCTTGGCATGTGGTTCAATGCGCCTTGTACCAGGGCCAGGACGAGGTGCCAGTCTGTCGCGCGCAGCTTCAACTCGCTGGTAAGCGTCTTGACTACTTCAACGGTTCCATTCGCCCAAGGACAGTAGGCGGTCGTGAAGTGGTGGTGGGCGCCGGCGGCCTTGCGGATCTTATCGATGACTTCGTTCTTGAAGTGGGAGCCGCTGTCGGAGACCCAGGTATAGACATACCCAAAGGTCGTGAACCAGTCGAGGAGGCCGTTGGCGGTCGCCGTGGCGTCGCTTGTCTCGCTGGGCCAAAGTCGCACGAACCCGCTCATGTCGTCCTTGATGACGAGGATCTTCTGCCACCCGTTCGTCGCCGTGGGCATGGATAGCCAGTCGAAGTGGATCAGCTCTTGGGGCTTCTCAGCATGAAGCGCCTATCCAAGCGGGCGCGGGACCACTGAGCCGTCGACGCTGAGACAGTAGATGCAGGCTTGGACAAAGGTCTTGACTCGTCTTCGAGGGTGCTCCAGGCGAAGAAATCGCGGACGGCCTTGGTCGTGGCTTCGATCCGTCGATGGCCCGCGGTGCCTTGGTGCGCTATGATGCAGACCGCTGCTGGAGGTCCGTGGCACTTAGTGGGATCCAGATGCGGTCTTCCTTGTCGAGGAACAGGTTCTTGTCTTCATTCCACGCCACACCGGTTGGCGGGGTCTCTCCCGTCTTCACGGCCACTTGTTGGGTCTTGAAGATGCCGGCAGGGCTGCGCCAGTCGAAGTCGGGCTGTTGCAGGGGTGACACCATGGCCAGGAGGCGCCGGACAGACTTCGTTGGCACTTGGGCTTGGGCGGCGCCCCAGCGGCTAAGCAGGTTGCCCCACACATTGTCTTCACCGGGCAGGCACTCGATGGTCTAGGGGAACGATGAAAGAATCAGGGCCAGCGCTCCAACTTGTGCGCTTGGTACCTCGCCATGCTTGGGGACTGGCCGGCAGGATTGAAAATGTACTGCAGGTTCTTGTGGTCGGTGAAAAGGAGGAAGCCAGCTGGGCGGATAAGAAGGTAGTCCAGCCGCTTGCAGCTTTCCACAACGGCAAACGCTTATTTCTCCACGATTGGCCAAGCTCGCTTGCGCCAGCAAAGGCACCGCTGAGAAAGGCCAACGGCTGGTGGCGCTGCTCTTCCAACAGCAGGGCCAGATCTTAAAATG